TCCCCTTGTCTGTACATCGTACTATAAGTCTCTAAAGGACCTCGAGAGTTACATTGACAGATGCTTGTTGCTTTCTTCCTCTCGTATGACGTCACACAAGCAGGTGGAGCAGGAGTGTGTGCGTGGTGTGTTTTTTTGCCGCTACATATGTGAGCATGTGCGGGGGTGCATGCAATACAGAAAGGGAGAGAGAGAGAGAGAGAGAAAGAGGGAGAGAGAGAGAGAAAGAGAGAGAGAGAGTGTATAGCGCCCATATCATTATGGAGGATTTTGCTGTCCAGATGCATTAATAGCTCAACTCTTGCTTTTAAATCCTGTAATGTATTTTAATGTACTCTAATGTATTCTGATGCTGCACAGGGGCATGGTAGTCTTTTAATAGAGGTTTTGATAGAGGCAGCCTCCAGCGGGCGCACACTAACAGAGTCTCTCCATATCTTCCTCTTTCCTCTCTCTGATTGCATCGCAGTCATTCCTCCGGTTGCACTCTCTCTTCCATTTTTCTCTCTATTTTAAGTTAAGTTTTATGTCATTGACTAAGCGTCTCTGGCCCTGTCTCGGACATTTAGCTGGGAACGCAGTAGTATAGTAGTATTTGCCTTCACAGCAATCAAAGAAAACAAAGAGGAACTTTAGCGATGCACTCATTATTTAACCATGAGCAGGCTTTTTAGTCTCCCCAGTCTTGTTTTGCACTAGTCCCCTTTGTGTAAAAATTATTAGAGTAAGCATTATCTGGGTGGAAAAAAGATTCAACAACATCACACACAAACACACACACACACACATAATTGCACACCATTATAAAACCTCTTAGCGTGTGATTATACCTCTATGCTTACATCAGGCCAGTTTTGCCTTATAAAAGCTGCTGAATATAAAGGTTTTGTATTTAGTGGTGAGATGTCAGAATTGTTGGCCACTACACTTTTTCTTATAGATTTGACCAAAATAAACTTTAATTGTTCACAACAGGACTCTTTCTGCTGTGTCATGGCACTAGTTATTTCTTTGGTAAGCATTACATGGCTTTCACAGACTTTTGATAATGCTGTTATGTTAAAGAACATTGTTCCATCTATGGCCTGGGGTTATAAGAGGAGGATGGGACACTCAACCGGGGGCAGAGAGCACTGGGAAACAGTCTCCACAGTCACAGAGTTTGATGAGTCAGATATATTTTTGTTTAGTTCTTACTTCCAGCTGCTGCTGTATTACAGAAAGGACTGTTTATTAAATATCTGTGACGTTAAATTAGGTAATTCCTATATGTTTTCTGCAAGTCATGTTTGACTTTGAGGATGTGATAGTCTGTTATTGTCTTGCATGTTTATACGGCTTAATTCGTTTCCTCTTCTACTGTAATCGTAGCAGCACAACATAGACATTTTTTTTCTTTTTATTTCTATGTAAAAAAAACACAGATTTATTTTTTATTTGTTTGTCTTGTCTTTGTCTTTTCTCTGTTTTATATCTTTGGACAATGAATACCTTTGAGTTATGGACTGTTGGTAGGTTATTTAAACATGTCGACTTGGGCTATGATGCTTTCAGCCCTACTATAGGGTAGTATAGTAAGTTTAATTATGCTTAATTATTAAAAGAGTGATGGAGGGAATGATTTTGGACTTGAGGTAATTCCATCCTGGTCCAGAGTTTCACTGCTGCAACCTGCAGTGGAGCCATAAATCCGATCAAATAGGACCGGACACAGAAACTCATCCTTGCCCTGAGCTACCACAGCCACACATCACTCTCTCTACCTGCTGTTTCCCTTGTGGACCTCCTCACACTCTGCACAGTTGATGACCTGCTACTGCGATAACAGAGCAGAGTTTTGAAGGTCAATACGGAGGACTGAACGCTTTCCGTTCTCATTTCCGTGGCAGTGGACAGATGCTGAGCCTGGAGGATGGAACGTCCTCTGGTGGTGGACAGGAAGTGGAGGGGCCCAAGAGAGAGGGACCGAGCGAATATGAGATCTCCCTGGAGAATAAAAACAAGCAGGTATGTTTTTTTTTGTTTTTTTTCAAATGTGTGGGCCCTGTAAGTACCTGGTGGGACTGAGTGAATGCTGACTCCTCTACCTGTTTAAGTATGAGGAGGTGTGTGAAGGATGATCATTTGACATTGTGCCTTGTCTGACAGAAAAAAATTTCCATTGACATCTATTTCCGTGTTGACATGAAAAAGAACACCAGCGATTCTGCTGCCACAGCGACAGGAACACAAAAGATGCTAGGTTGTCATGGTAACAGCTAATAACTGCTTCTGGCGGCTGGAGATGTCTTTATTTCTCGTACCAAACTGCTGAAGGGTCTGCTGTTGCTACTCTTATTGCTGCTGCAGTGCGAGTGTGTGTATATGAGAGTGTGTGTGTGTGCGTGAGCAGAAACACACCCAGGACACAACCACCACATGTGTGGCTGTCCTCCTTTTTTCTCCCTCTTCTGTCTTCCCTTTGCCTTGCACTCCCCCTCCTTCGTCTCTCTCTTGCTGAAAATATAGGAGGGCAAAAAATTTTTGGGAGGAAGCTGAGATTTTGGGATGAGCTGCTCCACCAACAAAAAGCACAAAAATAGGATTGTGCGGGTGTTTACTTTTCTATTCATTTTCTCAACAGCACCTTTGTCACAACCCATCCATCCTCCTCCTTCCCATGGCCCTTCAGACAGTATTAGCAGTTGAATGATGATAAATGATGTTTACTTTGGCTCTAATACCATAAACCCTCACCCACTTTTAAAAGAGTGGACAGATAAGTAAGAAGGATACTTACTAAGAAGGAGGGTGTGAGTGTGAATTTTGTGACTCAGGCAATGTTCAGATTCTTTTGATCTCTGGTGGACATGGGCACAAAATGCCAACATGATGTTTGCCTGCTGGTGGATGAATAAATATTTTTCAGTGGTTGCTGTGTGCTTTGCAATATCACTCTTGCAGTGTCATCAGTGAGTTTCAGAGCCTTGTAAACATGTTTGTTTCACTCCCCCTCACTCTCTTCCCATCCCCAGATAGAAGAGTTGGAGCAGAAGTATGGAGGCCATCTTATAGCGAGGCGAGCAGCCCGTCGTATCCAGACAGCCTTCCGTCAATATCAGCTAAGCAAAAACTTCCAGAAGATCCGTAACTCTCTGTCGGAGAGCAAGCTGCCCCGTCGGATCTCCCTGCGGCATCCAAGTCCTTCAGGCCGAAACCGGAACTCAACTCAGAGACACAGTTACAGTCTGCATCCGGGAGGAGGACAGATACCCTTACGCTCCAAAACTCCTCCTCCGCCTCCGTGCCGCTCCACCTCTCTGCCCCCTTCCCCTGCGTCTGCTCCAGCTACTGGTCCTTCTCCTGCCCCAGGCCCAGCCCCACCTCAAACCCCTGGGCAAACACTCACACAGCTGGAGGACTGCTTCTCTGAACAAGTGAGTGTTTTTGTTTTATGATAATATTCCAATAAGCTTAATAAGAGATACAAAATGGTTCAGAGAAAAAAATCAAGAAATAAGGTTTCATTAACTAATATAGTTTTAATTTTGTATTTTCTTATCATTATATTTGCAGCTTCATTCCTTGGCCCAGTCAATTGATGACGCCCTTCGTGGTTGGAGCTTGTCGGAGGGTGGAGAGGGTAAGGGGCTACTTATGGATCCCGGAGCCCTTCGTGCAGCCGCTGAGAGCGCTTGTCTGCCCCGCAGTGCCAGCTCGCTGCTAATGGCCTTCAGGGATGTCACTGTTCACATTGACAGCAATAGTTCCTACACCATCTCCTCTGCCACCACCACAACCACCACCTCTCTGGGTAATGCAGGCGGGGGAGAACCAGGAAGCAGGAAGACTTCTGTGAGCGGGATGGCTGGGGGAGGAGATGGCCTGTCAGCAGAGGAGCCAGAGTTTCCTGCACCTCCACCCAGTGAGGAGTTGGAAATGGCTGATATAGGATCAAGGAGAGGTTCAGCAGTGCCAGCTCCAGGTGGAGGCGGGATGGAAGGGGAGAGCGGCTCAGACAGACTAGGGTCCACCTCCACTTCTACCTCTACTTCCACCTCTATCTCCACCTCAGCCCAGTCTAACCAGCAGCCTGCTCAGATTTACACCCAGTACCAGCAGTACCACTACACTCATCCTCAGCAGATTCCCGGGGGGCCGAGCCCCGAGGCCCTGCAGGCCCTGGTTGTCTCTCTGCCCAGGGACCGCTGCCAGGACCCAGCCTCCTGCCGCTCGCCAACACTATCCACGGACACACACCGCAAACGCCTCTACCGTATAGGACTCAACCTCTTCAATGTGTGAGTGATCTAGCAATGCACACTTACACACTGACACAGAAAATAGCTAAATATTTCTGCTCCCTCTGGCTCAGGGTTCAAAGTACACTTAGTCCAGTTTGTGTCTAACAAATCTCCAACAGCCCTGCAAACCTGCTCTAAGCAGCTGCTCATTAGTGTTTGTAATTGTTGGGAGGAGCTGCCTGTTCAGTGCCATCTTGTGATGTCAGTGAAAAAAGCCAAAGACAGCGTGGCAGGGAACAAAGAGAGATAGAAAAGAGGGAAATGCAGTAGAAGAGGAGAGGCAGTCAAGGAGGTCAGGAACAATGTGAGAGCCTCTCAGCGTCTATAAATAGAGACCACGGTTGGCCTGCACTTATTACTAGTTAATACAAATTAAAGTAAATTAACTCATATGCATCAGTAACAGTGGGCTTGATCCAGAAGTCCAGAGCTAACAGCTTTTGCGCATGAATGCACTCTGCCTCTTCTTCTTTCCCTTTGTGCTTGCTCTTACATACACACTCGCTTTCTTTTATTCACACACACACATTAACTTAAGCTCCCGTTCTCTTAAATATAGCGTTACACATTTTCTTTCTCACTCCGGCCCACACACCTATCCACTTGAGCGCACAAAAACATCACACACGCGCCAGTTCAACTGTTAACACTATCTGCTTGTCCACTGTTGGTTGTTTGCGGGCAGGAACCCAGAAAGAGGCATCCACTTCCTGATCACACGAGGTTTCGTCCCGGACACGGCCATCGGAGTGGCTCACTTCCTGCTGCAGAGGAAGGGCCTGAGCAGACAGATGATTGGAGAGTTCTTGGGGAACAGCAAGCTGCAATTCAACAGAGATGTTCTTGAGTGAGTTCTCATTATTTTATTTATATATATATATATAGGCAACATAAAGGCATCACAATATACACGTGGTTGGGTTTCGATAGAGATGCTCAAACTTTAAATTATTCTTGTCAGCCAGGCTGGATTTAAAGTTAATGATGTTCATTCATGACCTTGGAAACAATCCAGCATCTGGAGCTTTCAGTTGTAACTATGTTTGCTGTGTGTGTATGTTGCTTTTTACTTTAAAAAAAAAGAGAAGATATAAAAAATTATATTAGAGATCTGTTAGACTCTGACTTCAATATTTCTGGTATTTTAAAATATCAAAAATAGAACAAGCTGTTGGAATCTAACCTGGCATATACACGATAACACACACACACACACACAAATCAGTTGACATGCAGCACTTCCATGCATAAATGCAACACATCCATGAAAACACGCATTTACTTTATGCTTTCACACTCACCCTTTTTGCAACCAACCAGTGTAGACAGAGATCCAGGATAGAGAGGCTTTTTGCTGAGGTTGTTGTAGAGACTGTAGAAATAGGTCACTGCACTGAACACACGCACACAATCACACTCCTCGCTTTCTTCACTCAGTCAGACACGTAGACACACACTCATGGACACAAATACGCACATGCACATGTGTAGGCCTATATAGTTCTTCAATTGCTACAGCCTGTCCTCAGCCTTTCATGTACATCTCTTATTCCCCTTCACTTTTAAGATCATTATTTTCATCCTCTCATCCCTCTCTTCCCTTCCCTCTTATCTTCCACTGCCATCAGACTGTCTTCTCCATTGATGTTTGCACAAAGTGTGTGCGTGTGCGTGTGCAAACATGTTGTCTCTATGTGCGTCTTCCAGGTCAGTGCTTCTGTAATGGAAGTATGACTGTAAGGAAGATTTGCCATCAGCACTCGGGTACTCATAGTTTATTGCACACGCACAAACACATACGTGCATATGCTCACTCACTCAACTTATCATTACAGGGACACACCACAACTGATCCCAATCTCTTGCTCTCCTTTCTCTTTGCTATCTCTTTGTCTCTGTCTGTCCCTTTTATAGTTGCGTCGTAGATGAGATGGATTTCTCAGGCATGGAGCTCGACGAAGCCCTGAGAAAGTTCCAGGCTCATGTTCGTGTTCAGGGAGAAGCACAGAAAGTGGAGAGACTCATCGAAGCCTTTAGGTGAGACTGTCAACTCGCTCACAGCCAGGCCTCACTGACTAACAGGACCTGGCTTCACTTTTGAATACAATTCAACAGTCCATCACATGACTGAGCAGGGCTCGTAAGGGCACTCTGAGCTTCTTAAAATGAATAGACCTTTTGCCTGTAGCCACCTATGCAAAACTAAAAAAACATGACACGTAACCAATCTCATATATTTTGCAATAAAACAGAAGCAAAGTATTTTTTTGATCTCATGTTGCAGTCTTGGGGATGCAGACGTTTCCAGAATGGCATGGATGCATGGCATGCTAATAGGCTGACTTTATAGACAAAGTGTTTTAACTGCTTCTGCTAGCTCACTGCTGCAGTCTGTGATGAAACTAAAGCCTTGTATCATTAACAAATTATACTGATTGCCTGTAACCTTTGACTAAACTCAGCAGTGTTTGATTGTCAGCCAATCATGGCGGAGATCTGAGCTGCAGGCAATCAGTGTACGTTCCATCAGGACAAAAATAGATGCTCTATTTCCAAACTTTCTCCCCTGGATGACACACTACGCAAATCTTCAGGATTTGTATGCTGTTTGTATGTGCTTGACAGTTGGGTGTCCATTTCCAACCAAAATTAAACATGAATATGTAAAAGAGCATGTTTGGTACTCATGGGGTTTTACCCTGAGTTGGTTCTCTGCAAATTTTGTCAGTGCTGACTCCTGCCCTCCAGTCTCTAGAATTCTAAAATTCATGAGCATATCTGCTGAAGAAGACTCATTTAAATACCAAGAGGGCCTTGAGAGACCTACTGTAACTTGCATACTCCCATTGTGCCTTCGAGTTGACTGTCTAGGTTTGCCTACAAACTCCTGGACAGAAAGAGTTTTTTAATGATGCAATTTTACCTTCTGACTGAAAATATTTTGAGGCAAAAACAGCAAAAAGTGACCAGACAAATCAGAGCTACAATTGGTGCCTTATCCCCTGGCTTGCATTGCCCTTGAAATGTCCTGGTAATGTCCAGAGATTGATCCCAAGACTAAAAATGCAATAAAAATTGCCATCATTGTTTTCCATTTCAGAGTAATTGGTTGCATCGCCTTGTACATTTAAACTCACTCTGCTGATGTGCTGCTTTTCCCCCCAGGTTTACCTACAATGTCACCAAACAGGACATGAGTTGAGCCGCTGCCCCTTTCAAGTCATTAACCAAGATGTCTTTCTGAATTACACAAAATTGCTAGTATAATTCAATCTCAGGGGAGTGTAATCACCATAGAAAATGTACTGCATTTTAATTGTCTGCCAGCATCCACAGTGTGCCGTCCATGTTGTGAGGTGCTGACTGAAGCTGAAAACTTAGCCCGAGTCATCATGTACAGGCTCTGTGTGGCCTAGCAGGTTTCATGTTTATAATGTTCTTCATATTAGTTAGTTACTAGTAGTGTAACTAATTACAAATACATTTGAGTAATACTATAACTACAGTTACCCAGTTACAGTAAACACAAACAAAGTCCTGCGGAAGTTAATGGGAATGGCATTAGTCATTAGTTATGCAAATATTTAGTCAAAAACCAAAGGCATTGGACAAATTTTGGACAAAACTGACCTGATTATAGTCTGAGGTGAAAAGATAGAAGAGTTTCATGAAGGCTGAAGGAAATTTCATGGCAATCCATCCACTAGTTGTTGAGACATCGCTAGGGCCACTGGCTGAGAAAAACAGGTCACTAATATATAGTTTTATTATTTCGAAACAGCTGGAAACAGACAGCAATACTGATGCAGGGCAGCAGCGGCATTGACAGAGAGGGGAGGGAGGGCTGGGAAATGTTGCAGCTTAGAAAGACGTGAGGGTGTGTTTGTGATTATGGGGAGTAAAGCATGTCACGTGTGTATATAGCAGTGCAGCTTGAGTTGACTGCCTGATCACTGCCTGATGACTGCTGTCACTCTATTTTTTAACAAATATTATCTGACAGGACATAACTAACACATATGTTGGGGACTATTTTCAGCTTGTTTGATGCTCTAATGGAATTTACAGCAACAGCATGTTTATGTCCATTATATGGGAATATGTCACCCAGTGCAGATGTGGTTCACTGATGTGTTTTAAAAGCTATAGCAGGCAGTGGATATATTACATTGGTAATACTTATTAGAGATTTTAGTTTGGAAATTTCTTTATTGGATTTGTGAACAGTACAAAAAATATAGATCACTAGTCCTATCCATTAAGGAATGTGTGTTCTAACTCCAAGCAAGAAGTGGTGAGGCAAGAGAGGAGAAGGAGCAGTCATGATACTTCTCCTCTCCGCTTCTGATTTGAGGGCCAATCAGAACACCCACCGCGGTCATCAGTTAATCACATCACACTCAATCATACGTGCTGAGCCCCTGGGTGCAGATTACAAATTCATCAGCGATCTGAGACCACACTGTCTGTAGCTGGATCTCTGAGTATAGGTCAGAAAACGAGCAGGCTTTATCGGGACAGCCAGACATCCGATGGCAGGTCTGTTACGTAACAGTTGTTATGTCATCTGTTTAAAGCGTGTTGTACTCTTGTCGTGAGTAGTTCTTTTTATACGAAGTGCTTTTTGTGCCAGCTGGCATGCAACATTCATATGCAGATATGAAGATAAGAGATCGGGAGCTAGTGTTTAAATAAACTGGTTACATAAGACGGAGATCCGTGCTTGAAAATGTGTGAATGAAGCCCAAACAGACAGACATAACCACTGTTTCATTTATTCACTCAATTGTTTGCTCACTAGTGCATTAACATGTATGCAGTTACACATCCATGCACATGTCCATTTGCATACATACACACTCTCACACACAGTAGATCTTGCATTCAGCCTTTGATGAATTTGCCGCAGAGTTACATCAAGTTGGCAAGTCAGGAAGCTCGTTTGTGCCCCAGTGTGTTTCTGTGTGTCTATGTACGTGCAAGTGCATATTATATCTGTAGCAGTGTTTGTGCCAAGTACGATCTATTCTCCCTCAAACAAAGGCACTGAACTGGGCTGTTGTCGATTGATACCCTGTGAGTTCTATGGCCTTAGATCTTGTGTGGGGTCTGGGGAAAGGCTTTCTGGTTGTGCAGGTCTCAAACGTGGCCTCTCGCTTGCATATGCTCTGTCAAGTACGTAGTCCGCTGGAGCAGAGCAGCCCTCTCCATGTCTGCATCCTGCCTGGCTGCAGAGATAAAAGCCTCCAACCACTGAAATGGCCCAGTGTGTAAGCGTAAGTGACAGTAAGAAAAGGAGATGTGGGGGAAGGAGGGGTAGAAGTGAGAGTCTGTGAAGCCTGTGGGCAGCGAAGGAGCAAAGCAAGTCCAAATGCAGAATCTCTTATTCCAAAGCAGACTGGGCAGGGTTGCCTTACCTAGGGCAGAAGCATTTTGGACTGTCAAATGTCTCCTGTGTCCTGTCAGTCTCATTTATGGTAGAGTGACTGCTCCTCACATCTGACTAGAAGTTAGAATCAGTCAGTCTTCATTAAAATAGACAGATTATAAACTTTTATGGAGACATATTGGCTTTATAATCAGCCTTCTTCTTCAACTTCTCAAAGGCCGTTGCATATATTGGTTTGAAAATTTACTTTGTACTCATCTCTTATAACAAGGCACTCCCTGATCTGACCCCCTAAATCCCAAGATTTCCTCCCAGCTCACTGTTGATATTTTGAAAGATAAGACAGAGGAAATCTTGGGATTTGGGGCTGCGATTTGGCCCAAAAATAAAGTCACTGACTGCATCACTAAGCTTCGTACGTTGGCTCTGTGAGCCTGAAGATAGAGAAGTGTCTCTACCCTCACTTATTATGAATGGGGAAGACAAGATATTAGAAACACCTCATAGCATAAAGCAATGCAATTTAGCAGCATCTCAAACTACATCCTTCAAAATTACCACATTGAACACATTTCTAAAACTGTTTCAATATTAAAACCTTCATGAAGGTGGGATTTGTTGTAGGACTGCTGTATAGACAGCATTCGTTTTAACTAGGTGTACATAATAACCTCAAAACTGGAGTATAATTTAACATCAGTCCAGCAATAAAGTTGCTAGAAAGTTGTCTGTATGTACTGAACACTGATTAATAAAAGGTTGTATTGGTTTTAATTTGTCCTGTTTGCATTAAATCCATGAATTTACCATTCAAATGTATTAGGAATGTTTGTTTACACACCAAACTTTTGGCAATGCGGAAAGTACTTCTTATTTTGTTTGTGCTGTATTTCATTTCTTTGTAACTGTGTTTGTTACACCAGAGAAAGGTTTTCAGCTAGTGCATATGCTGTTATCCATATAAAAGCAATAATGTGCCTCAGGATATGAATTATATTTGAATATTTGAATCACTGCTGCTGATGGCAACTACAGCATCTCTCTTTTTTAACAGCGGTATAATGGATAAGAATCCAGACCAATATCCCTGATAAGACGTGGCAGAGAAATGTTTGACCTAACTTCTTACATAAAATTTGTTGTCCTATTTTTCCTCCACAGCCAGAGGTACTGTATGTGTAATCCTGATGTGGTGCAGCAGTTTCACAACCCAGACACCATCTTCATCCTGGCTTTTGCTGTGGTCCTCCTAAACACTGACATGTACTCGCCCAACATCAAACCCCAGCGCAAAATGGGCCTTGATGACTTCATTCGCAACCTAAGAGGTTAGTACATTATGTGTATGTATGAGCGCAAGTGTGTGTTTATATAGCAGCTGTAGGGCCTTTCAGAGAGAGTGAACTGGCACCATGGATAATGCTGGTATAATGAGTTGCAGACATGTTTCAGTATTCATGGCAAGTGGTTTTGGACACTGGTTATACATAGTAATCACACATACGTAGCTGGGAGGGGATCGAACCAACAACCTTCGGGGGACGACCCACTCTGCCTCTGTGCCACAGCCGCTGATAAGGAGATCCATTGGAGCGATATGCCAGAAGGAATAAGGAAGAAAAAAAAGAGAGCAGAGGGCAGAGGAAGTCAAAGTTTTACAACAAGAACTCTCTTATAAACCTCACTATCAGTAATTTGAGTGACAGCCTCTTGAAGTGAAATAAATTACTCAAAGAGGCGGCGGATGCTTGCCTTTGCTCGCTACCATCAAGAAAACCATCAGCTGTGCAGGAGGAGATTTCTGATATCCTTGAGTCAGAGCTCTGCCCCAGAGACCGTGGCGTCGACCCATTTAATTGAGGCTCAATTACCGTTATATTTAACGATAAGAGGTTCCCGGAAGCATCTCATCACCTGCGCTCCCTGAGGCTCTCAACACGTTCCCCGTTCAGTGCTTGAAGAGATACCAACATCCACTGCAACCAGAGCTTAAAGAAAAGCAGTTTGACTTTTATTTGTATCTTCAGTTAATAGAAAAATCCACCATAATATACATTTCCATATGTTTTTTCATAGAACATTGCACAACCTAGTTTTAAATTGTGAACCAAACAGGTTTCTCCAACAGCAGTGACAGACTGTTGTGAGTCTTTGTGCTGCTCCATAGTGATTATGGAACAACTACCAGGACACAATGACAGCACACATACTGGGATAGAAGCACATTTTGTGACACAGCTGCAAACTAATTTGACTGTAATATCTCAGATAAAAAAAACAGCCCACACAGTCCGCCTTAAATTAAATGTAGTTTTGATCCCCATCATCTTCCACTGCGGCTGTTGCTATAATCTTGTAAAGAATCTGCACAGTAAAAGGATTTAGAATAATAATAAAAACAGTCATAAGTTAATGAAATATAATGTTTTAATTTTCATAGTTTTCACACTGATTGGGAGTCACTTGGTATTATGTAATTTAAAGGCCCAGTGTCTAACATTTAGGAGGATTAGCAGAAATGGAATATAATATTCTTAAGTTTGTTTTCATTAGTGTATAATCACCTGAAAATATTAAATTTTTTTGTGTTTTTATTACTTTAGAATGAGTCATTTAGTCCATCATATAGAAGCACAATGTTTCTACAGTAGCCCAGAATGGACAAACCAAACACTGGCTCTACATAGGGGCCACCATAGTTTGATCTATACAATTCATTGCAATATGCAGCTTTATCGCTAGATGCCACAAAGTCCTACACACTGGTCTTAAACAGTAATTTATTGATGATACTTAAGTCAACTCCTAGTGTTTAAGCGAGATGGTAGAGAGCAGCAACTAGATAAATCACCCCATGGAGTCCAGACACTGGTAGTGGTGGCTGATGACTCTGCTGAGGCTCATGAAATAAGCTACTGAATCTGTGAAGATTGGGCAGTGATGAGGAGGTGGAGGTATGCGCATAACAGCAGCATGAATTAACTGAAGGCAGAGAGAGAGAGAATTATATTTAAAAAGATGACTAGGCTAACAATGCAGGTGTGTCACTGTGCTATTGGTTGGACGTGACCAGCTGCTGAAAACAACTTGATTGACAGCCCCTGATAATTACAGCAAAGAAATGATAAATTATGCATGCATAAGAGGAGTGAATGCAGGATGGAAAGGTAAATTAACTACAGGTCTATATGCAGGAGAAAAGTCTTCCTGACTGAACTTTAGCTTGAGCTTCATTACTTGGGTAAATGTATTTAGCTACTTTTCCCCAGGGGCCAGGGCTCAGTGAACAGTTGGACATTCAGCGTGTCAGGGCTGATTCCCTGTAGGATCTATAGACTACTTCTTACTTTGGTTGTGCCCACACCTAATCTTTATGGACTATTGTTCCCTCAGGTGTGGATGATGGAGCAGACATCCCCAGAGAGATGGTCGCAGGCATTTATGAAAGGATCCAACAAAGAGAGCTCCGGTCCAACGAAGACCACGTCACCTATGTGAGCCGTGTGGAGCAGTCCATCCTGGGCCTGAAAACCGTGAGTGATATTTGTGCCTTGAGTCTTTGGCCCCCTTTCTCTCTCTTCTCATTTCAGTCATCTGTCTGCACTTGTTTGTACTGTCTCCTCTCTCTTGTGTCATGTATTATTTCGCTGCAGTCTGTCCTGGTCTGTACTATCTGTCATCTCCATCTCCTTAACCTTGCCTCTGTAGATCCTCGCCGTGCCCCACAGACGTCTGGTGTGCTGCTGTCGTCTGTTCGAGGTGCCTGACGCCAACAAGCCTCATAAACAGAAACTGTCCCAGCTCCAGAGAGAGGTCTTCCTCTTCAATGACTTACTGCTGGTAATAAACCTATACTCACAATATTATATATATAATATATACAGACAATACTCTAAATATGCAGCTGAAAATACATTTTATTGCCAAATGTAATGAATATTACAGCCCAGATGTTATTAGATATCAGTTCAGCCATGATGTGTATAATGTGTCTCTACTGTAGATCCTGAAGCTGTGTCCCAAGAAGAAAAGCTCGGCTTCCTACACCTTCTGTAAAGCCATGGGTCTTCTGGGAATGCAGTTTCACCTCTTCAGCAATGAATGTAAGGTGCTTTTTTACTCTGCAGCAGTTTATTTCAGTACAGTTCCACCCTGGTGCTGACAGATTCATCAACAGCATTGTAAAACAAACTTAACACACTGCTGTCAACTTCCCATAATTATCCTAAAGGAAAGTTGCTTGCTTACACAGTATTACTTTAAAAATAAATCTAATTTATTTTGAGTTGTTGTCACAATTTAGACTTTTAATGTAACTGAACCTGCAATGCACATCACATCTGTACCTGTGTGTACACGTTGGGTAGTTTTGCTGAGAAGAAAAAAAAGAAGAAAACTATTGATCTTGAATAAGTATGAGCTTCCAAATATTTTTGTTGCAGTGTTCAATAAGCCATTGCTGCCAACAGAAACACATTTGGTCATTAACCTCAAAGCCCGGGTTTTTGCAAGTATTCTTAGCCACAACATTTTGTGAAGTAAAAACTGCAACACTTCAATGTTTCAAAAGATCCTACATCCTTTTTTTAGAATCAAAGTTATGGTAAAAGCATCTTCTTTTTCTCTTTGACACTTTGTTCGGTTGTTTGGTCTCATATCAGACTACGCACATGGCATCACCATGTTGAGCCCATTTACCTCAGAGAAGAAGCAGCTGGTGAGTTTCTGCTCCCCGAGTGGAGAAGAGCTCAGGAAGTTTGCAGAGGAGCTCCGAGAGGCCATCACAGAGGTCAATGAAATGGAACAGATACACATCCAGTGTAAGGAAGGAAGCACATACACACACCTCAACATGTGCAAATACAAACAAACATACAGTGGGCTTCTCTATGTGGCTGGTTGCAATCTCTCTCTTGTGTTGTAGGGGAATTGGAGAGGCAACAAGGCATCCAGCCACACGGCATACATACTAACGGCGGGCAAGTGGACACACACACCGGACACGGCTCTCCCTCAGGTGCTGGTTTTGCTCGTGCAGCATAAAATTCACAACACAGCATACATTACGCATAATAATGCATACGTTACTCAAGGCAATGTCGAAAATAGGACAGCTTCATGGAAAAGAGGTGCATGAAAAAGCCCCCCACACTGAAAAAGGAAATTAAAAAAAGAAGATTGGATGATGATCAGAGGGTTTAAAGTTTTGCCTTTGCGGTCATAGTAACCTTTTTATTATTAAAGAATTTGTTCCAGCAAGTAACGTCCCCTGAAACCACAGATTGTTGCTTAAAGTTAGAGGTTCAGTGTGTAACATTTAGGGGGATCTATTAGCAGAAATGTAATAAAATATTCATAGGTATGTTTTCATTAGTGTCTGAAAATAAGAATCGTAGTGTTTTTGTTACCTCAAAATGGGATGTTTTATTCTACAGGGTCCTCTTCCACGGAGCCATGTTGAACCGAGAGTACACCCTACAGTAGCCCAGAACAGATAAACTCTAGATAGGGCCTTTAAATCCTTTAAACAAACCAGATACAGATCGTCAGCTTTAGAGATGTTGGTATATGTATTTCGTGCACTTTGGACAGAACCAGGCTAACTGTTTCCCCCACCTCCAGGCTTTATGCTAAGCTAGCACGTCCGAACTATTCCCAAAATGCAACACTATTCCTTCTTGTTTGTAATGTTTCTCAGCTTTTTTCTGTGTATGAAGTTCTTAAATCTGCCTGTTAACTTACAAATAGACCCGTTTCTTCCCACAGGCCAACAGGATCCGTATGATAAAACTGGCAACAACAACACAGTAGAGGTAAGTGCTCAAGCCATACTTTTCTCCCTCAGGTAAGTGCCTGCATCACTAGCTCTGTGGGTGTGGTTTTGTATGTGTGCGTGTGTGTGTGTGTGTGTGTTTGTTTGCAGTTAGACAGGGACTGAGAAGAAAGTCTGCTTTATGCTTTGCTTTAAAAGAGCACCGCCTGAGGCACATCCCCATTTTGCAGCCTAGGATACAAAGGCCTCTGAGAGGAGTCTGCTGTAGTGGCGCAACAAACAGTCTTTTTCTGTTGCCTCATGAGTGGATCAGCAGCCACTCTACTCGCTATACAACATCCCATCTTTCATCAGCCACTGCTTGCCAGCCTTACTGTATAAG